TAATGGCGAGCAGATATCACATGAACTGCTGTAGGCACAATCCTAGCTTATCTCTACCCAAAAATAATAATAATAAAAAAAAACCCTCTAGTCCTGAATAGAAGGCTAAATATACAATGAGTATCCCAGGGGACTCTCCAATCTTCTCCTCTCTGATTTTCCAAGACATCTGATATGTTCTCAGTCTCTTCTACAGAGACAGTACCTTGAAATATCTGATGACTCTCTAATAAGGTCCTAAGATGACTCCCTTTTCTGTAATTCACCCAAAAGGTAACAAGCAGACAGAGGAGCTGAATGCTTTAACTCCCAGCAGCGTCTTTTCACCCTGTCCAGACATTTACACATTTTCAGTGAGCACAAAGCACCTGTTACTCAGCACAGCTGTACTCAGTCCCAGTGCTCACCAGTCTAAATAGGTGAGCACAGCACCACACTCTAAAGGTCAGGACCCTAAGGCCCATGAACCATTGATTTGTTGCAAAATTAGTCATTTTGGTAATAATTTGGAAATAAAGATTTGTGTAGATTGGGTCTTCTGCTTAGCTTGCAATAAAGAGTTGCATACAACCCTATCCACCCACCATATATAACTGGGACCTGATCAAAATGCCTCTACCTAGCAACAAGGTGACTAGAAGGTAGTCACAAACTATACAGGGAAAAGCTTTAATCTTAAAAACAAAACAATAGAAAAAAAACCAAAACAAAACACCACCTTTTTCTTTGGCACAGATAACCTCCTGGATAATAACTTTGTCCATAAATAAGGGCTAAACAAAGTTAGAGAAATCCAGGTCTTGCTATGTGTTGCAGTTCACAGAATCATTAAGGTTGGAAAAGACCTCTAAGGCCATCAAGCCCAACCATCAACCCAACACCACCATGCCCACTAACCCATGTCCTGAAGTGCCATGTCCACATATTTTTTGAACACTTCCAGTGATGGTGACTCTACCACCTCTCTGGGCAGCCTGTTCCAATGCTTGACCACTCTCTCCATAAAGATATTTTTCCTAGTATCTAATCTAAACGTCCCCTGGTGCAACTTGAGGCCATTTCCCAGTTCAGTCAACCTTTCATTATTTCGAGGTGGGGCATTAATTTTTCATTCTCAATTCCCTAAAATTTCAACATCTTCCCTAAAGCCCTGAGACACATCATGTCCTCTGAAAATGCAGAGAACACTGCCAAGATCAGAGCAAAGATCAGACCACTGGAACATATTTCTTTGTATATTTTGAAGTTCATGAAAGCTCCTTACAGGCTCAGAAATCTTACCTTTAATTGCTTTTAAGGAGCATTTGAAGTATTTTCTATACCAAGGCCATTTGTAGGTGCCCTTACTCAAAGCAAGTAGCATTTTAAGCTCCAGTCAGACCCTACTGGCTTAAAGCAGGGCAATTCTTAATGCAGGTGAATGCAACATGCCTGTGCTAGCATACTTCTCCACAGAAAAACTGTCTAGTGAGCTTTTATCCAAGAATCAGTAATAAAATGAAGGGCTGATGTGATGCACTAGTATTTTCTCATCTAAATGCTGAGCCAAAGTCTCACAGGGTCAAAAGATCAATCTGCTTATATGTAGACCCTTCTCAATTTATACATACTTGATAGCCCATTCAAGTCAGATGGCTAATCCAGGTGTCAGTTTTCTATGCCCAAGACAAATGCACCCCCCAATTATTTTCTGCTTGACATCTAAAGTCTTTGGGATGAGTTTTGTTGTAGCCAACCATAAAGGTTATCTGGAAGGAAGAAAAAAAGAAGTTCAAGAAAATTAATCTAAGTTTTCCTTTAATTTTTTTTTTTTTTTTTTTTAAATCCTGTTTTCAGGGGAGCACTTCCCAGTTGCCAGCACTGGAAAGTGAGAAGCTAAGGGCAGAAGGAAAATTCCACAAAAGCCAACACACTGCACTGACCCAGGCAACATTTCAGCTCTGCCAAAGTCTTTAGAAAGCTCCTCTATTAATGCATTGGGTCTGATGGCCAAGATCTATCTTAGTTTTCTCACTGCCTGAGATCCAGCCCCAGCCAGTATTAATCAGGATGTCTGCACTGTGCTAAACCCATGTTACCTAATTCGGACCAAAGCATCAACCCCCTTTTCTATGCAACCACACCCGATCATGGCTACACTTTTTCCTGAATACAACTCGGTTCCCACAGGCTATAGATTACAAATAGCAGAAAAAAAAGTGAAAGATTGGCAGTGGAGCATTTTTCATATTTGGTATATTTTCCAGATATTTCTCAAAAAACATGAATAATCTGTTTGGAAGGAATGTTTTCTGGCTAAAACAGCGAGCTTAGAAAATTCTTTGCAGTTCTATCTTTAGTTTTTACAACAGGAAGTTAATGTCTCAAATCCAACCACATATAGACTTGATTGTTCAGTTAAAAAAAACAAACCAAACAGTAAAGTTAAGTCTGCTTGGATTTGATTCTTTCTTTCAGAGCCCTCAATATACTGAAAAAGAGACATTCAGAAATATTATGCTTATCTTCAGGGTAACTAAGTGAGCTACTGATGAAAATTTCCCTCACTGATCACATTTTGTTATTAGAAAGCCAGGAGCAGCAAATGCTAAAAAAGGAAATCAATTGAGATTAGAGAGGGGATTTGCGTTTGCAACAGGGAGTTTGTTGTTGTCACACAACCATTCCTGCCCTGGTTCCACGACACTCTTGACGCAGTTGAGGTGACAGGGAAAGGAAGAAGTTTGGAGCAAAGTTTTATAATCTTTTTACAGTGTCTCACAGCATCAATTCACAGATTTGAGCTGGGTTTGGAGGATTCTACATGGTGGGACTAGATAGTTGCTACTGAAGAAGCTGCAGTCTCTACCTCCTGCAACCTACCTAGAAATTCCCCACTTGTAGTCCCACCATGACCCCTCCACAACCCAAAAAGCAAGTACCCCTCTCCCCACCATGAACAGTCATCCTTCCCCTCCACAAAGCCTTTGGGGGGTCTTAGCTTCTATCGTGGCTTCTCCCTTGCCTCTCCATCAGAAAAAGCTCAGCAGCACCTCCTCACACCACACTTCACACCATTGAGCTCTGAAGCTGGCACACTGGTGCCCTGCCTAACTCCAGCCCTAGGGAAGGGTATCCTAGAGAGCACAGACTGCTCTGAATACAAGTTACCCCACTGCCCTGCAGAGTACATCTCCACATCAGCTCTTAACTGAGCAACATAGCTGGATCCAAAGTGCACAAATGATTTTTCCCTTAAAAGTGTTCAAAATTTGGAAAACGTGACCAGTGCAGAAGAGCTTCACAGTTGGACACTACCTCCATCAACAGGTTAATCATCTTCTCAGTGCCAACGCATGGATCACACTGAGCAGATGAGCAGCAGCACCACTCATCTAACACTGAGCATTACATTATCCATATAAGGGGTTGAGTAAAGCCCAAAGGTACGAGGACCATCCAGCTGCATCTAACACAACCTGCAAGCCATGTGTAAAACCAGCCAGCTGGGCACACACGTGGCACCCCTCAGCGCTCCTTGCTCACTGACTTTATAGCTTATTGGAGAAATAGAGCCCTTCCCTATAAGGAAGTCTTGGTAGGTCCAGACAAGGAACATCTCCTGTTGACCGTACAGACCCAGAAAGTGCTGACATGAATCAAACTTGCTGCTTGCCACTCCCTGCTCCTTTCCAGCCTCCTAAAAATAGCCATCATAAGATGTCGATCAAGACATGGAGCCTCCTGTCACTTTGCCCTAAGAAAGCTAAAGAACTCGCCAAGGGGAGGGACCACTTCCTTCTGACACCTAATCCAGGCAATGCCGTCAGCGCCGCCGCATAAATAAGGGGGAAGAAAGACCAGGAAAGCAGGACCACTCTCAAGACCTCTCAGCTAATCCCTCCTGCCCGTCTGCTGCTCTGCTTTTCCAACTCTCAACCATGGTGGGTCCACTGGAAAGCTAATCGTTAGCAATGAGCCAGTGTATTTTACATAAGTAAATCTGGTTTCTCGCTCAAGTTAGTTCTGGGGGTGGGAGGGGAGAGGAAGGACAGTCCAGAAGACAGTTTAGTTTTGCTTGGCTTTCCTCCTTTAAACCTAAAGGACTATGCGAGGTTTTCCAATTGGCCTCAAGTTCTGCACCAGGCAATGGTAGACGCGCGGCGTCTTCCTCAGACAGAAGGGTTACAACTTGCTACTGCTGTCTGCTAAGCATTTTTTTTTTAAATTGGATGCAACTTGCTAAAGTGGCAATGGAAAATAATAATATTTTTACATAAGAAAATATCATAGTTTAGTATTTTATGAAACAACGTACTGTCAAAAACTAATTTGAAACACAAACTTTAAGAGATTGGTTTAATTTCTATGTCAAGGTAAAAAGAGCTGCTTGTTAAGCAATATTACTTCAAATAGCCTTAATAAGATGGGTCTATACTAAAACAGTAAATGACCTGATGGTGCATGAACAACTGCTTTGTTAAGACCCTTTAGATTTTTGTTGCTTCTAGGCACAACCTTGGCTTTCCCTGGGATGCAGATTTTAACAGAATCTTTAAGAATAGGTCTGGTGATGCATTTTTACAAGGGAAGTTGCTAGTTTAGGTTGCTATGGCCTAATTACATTAGGCAAGACAGATGCGAGAGCCCTCATCTACTTTGTGCTATTTGCTTTCTCTCAGTGCATTTTCAGCAGTACTAGTTCTCTTCTTTTCTCTCTCTCTTTTTCTTCCCAATTGCAGTCCTTCACTCCTGACCAAATTAATGGTAAGTGAAATAAAAGTTAAACTTTAATAGGGAGCAGGAAGGGGGGGAACATAATGGCTACCAAATGCTAAATATTCACTAGTCTTAACAGCTCTTTTGCTATATCTGCATTACTTCTGCGCATCTGACAGGCCAGATTTTTGCTGTTTTGGAAGATGACTCATGGATTGAGCTGGATGCTTTAGAAAACAAACAGGTTCTCCCCCAGCCCCCCCTTCCTAAGCTATTTTTTGTGATTGATTTCCTTCCAACAGATCGAGTTCTCCAAGGAGCAGCAGGATGGTAAGTTACAAGACAGCCGATTGTTTTACATGTATGTGCATTCAGAGAGGAGCTGCAGGCTCAGAAGTTTAACTGTTACAAAAAGTTGAGCTAGGGCTTCAGCTGGTATAAATCACCACACTCTTGACTTCAGAGGAGCAGTGCTTACACTGAACAAGAACCTGACCATAGGCTTACACATAATTTATCTAGATGCTTATGTGCTGCCCAAGCTGAGAAGTTTATGCCATGGTACAAGAGGAAATACACTGGTGTTACCAGCTCTACCTACTGATCATTTTTCAGTTGTGCTCCTGTACTGGCCATTCACAAGGATGCTGAAAACGGGTTTTGCATTTGAAAGTCATGGGGGAAATAGGCAGATGAAGGACAACAGGAGGGACTGAGCTGAAAATTTAACTTAGCTGCAGTGACATTGCAATTTTACAGGGACAGGAGATGCAAGAGGCCTACATGTCACTTGCTGGGAGGTTTTGGGGAGGAAGAAAGGCTGCTTTAATGTAAATACATTAATGAAGCATGGAAATAGTTAGCAAATAAGTGACTTGTGTAAACTGTTGCATATAAACACAATAGTCTGGATATGCTGCAATTCTGGAGCATCTTGCTGTATCCTCACAAGCCACCACCAAGTTCCAATTTTTTTTTTTTTTTTTTTTTTTTTTTTTTTTTTTTTTTTTTTTTTTTGCTTTCAATCTGCTAGAAAGATCCGATTAAAAATTATTACATGAACGAAAATGCCCATTGAAGCTCTGGAAATCTAAGCTGGAGTATTTTAAATATCCTAAGAGATGCTTTCAGGGTTTTTTCAGGGTTTATTAAATAACATAGGTTTAAAAAAACATTAAAAATTCAGTAGACTTCTCACTGTGAACAAAAGTATTTTGCATGGAAGATATGAGGATTTACTAGAAATCCAGAGGGAGAGGAGTATCTAGAAGCAGGTCTTAAGAGAGAGCCCTAAACTTCCTGAACACCAGCCTGCTCTGGGTAACATCATCAAAGCAACAGGGAGAGGTATAGTGCAGTGAGTGAGACTGGAAACATTTCTCTTCCTGCAGTCCAAACACTCCTGGTCACAAAGAAAATTATGTGGCCTCTTCCTCACTTTTTAATTCTAAAACTTTTACAAAAGGGTTGGGAGGGTTTATGGAAAAATGCCATCAATTCAAAGCTGCTGGCATACATACAACAAAGCAAAATATTTCTTTCAGCTTCCCTAC